GGTGAGATTTGTCAAAGAATATGATTTTCAGCTTTGAAATGCACATATGAAATTTGCACAGATAATGCAGATAATAATTATCTGTTCAATTTGGGAGCTTCATACTTTTTACACTATTTAATTCGGCTACTTTTCCTTATGTAAACGAGCAGTAAATTTGTCTCTTGGAACATCTCGAGCTCATATTTAGGACTCTCTTGCTGTGAGGTGACAGTGCTAACCACTTACCACAGATAATAAGAGGTTTGTCTTACTTCTTATGGCTGCCGTCTGCCTAGTTTACCATAAAAGCCTAATTGGTGAAGTTCCACTGCAGTGGGTGTCGTTCCCGTTCGTTTAAATGTCTTTCTGAGTGATACAGGCACAGGGGTGTTGATCTGTCTGCCACAATAGCACTGCAGTCAATTTGATGTTTATCTAGAGAATTATTAATGCAACCAGGATGTACCTGACCACAGTTTGCAGGAGCACAGCAAAAGATTTGAATACACACACATTTTCATGCACGCACACAACAAACTAAGTTGTATTAACACGTTAACACACCACAGCTTTGCAAAGCTCGTCCTTGGCGATGTAGAGTTTTCCATAGCACTGTAACTGCACATCCTTTTATAAGTTAATTCATCCGTCTCTGAAAGAAACTTTTAAATGCCATCAATAGCATGTTCCAATTATTGCAGCAGCTCAAAAGGCAAAAACATGTGCAGCGAATAACAGCAGACAATAAAATAAAGTAAAATTCAATCAAACTTTTCTGATGACTCGATGTTTGTGTGGATAGCCTAAAAACTTTTTCCACATCTCTGTTGCTTTAAGTTCTAAACATATACTGTATTATATCAACCTAGTCATGCAATATACTATGAAAATGTTTAGAAAGGTGACTGATTTGTCGGTCTCGTTTCTCTGTGTTTGTCCACAGCACAAAGACACCCAAACAGGCAGTGTTTGCTGGAAGCATGCAGCTCCTGGCGGGTATCAAGCTGTGCACAGGCAGAGTTCTCACCAACCACCCCCATTATGAAGATAAAGACCTGCGGGAGCGGACCAGACAGGTACTGTAGGCTGCAATAAAACGAAACTGCCAGAGGGGCTGCAAGATAACACAAACACAATAAATGGAAAATCTGAAGTAAATTGATGGTAATTACAGTGTCAGCTTCATAACACCGAGTCAGGTGGATTTGAATGCCAATTAGCTGCTTGGATTCGCTTTAAGAATAATCATAGCTGTAATATTTATGTTTTGAAAGAGGTGTGAGATCTGAGCTTTACCTCTCTGCACAGGCTATAATACGAGCCAGTGATATATTTTAAAGCGGAATTCAGTTCACTTCAGTGGATATTCATCAGTTCACAGCAGCAGTTTTCTCAAAATGTTTTATGTTGTAAAGATTCTACCTGGAGTCTTTGTTTTTATTCATTTTCACAATTAAACAGAATGGTCGAGAAAAAGAAAAAACCCACTTCTTCCACCTCACACACCTCTGAAAGTCTGTTTC